GTGAAAGTTTTTTTTGTGTTGAAGAGGGGGGGGGGGGGGGGAGACAGAGAGGGAATATGAATGTGTATGTAGTATTAGCTAGTAGTAAATCACATTCCACTGGAGTTGGTTAACATGTTGCACTGCTTAGCCAAGCTGCTTTTTCAAATCTAAAGTGCTGATCATTAAAACTGAAGAAGCTGGGGCGTGGCTTGGCTATGGCGGCGTAAGGAAGCACATTGCTTGAGCTCTGCTATCACCAGAGACTTTTCAGTTGATCGAGACATCTTATGATGTCGTTGAAAGGGCAAATCTCGTTGTGACAATAGCCACCGCTCACAGACCTCCTTACAGTGCTACCTCTCATCACCCGCGCCAACGACCCGCAGCACCTCCAAGACGGCCATGGCTTCTGAAACACAGGTTAAGACCCCGAGGCCTACTTCTCCCCCTCGACCTCGTGGCACCCCGGCCTTGTCCACCCTGAACTCTGGTGGCCCCACCTCACCGCGGGCAACTACCTCTCCTCCCGGTCCTAGCCCAATAGAGGACCCGATCTTCCCCCTCACTCTGACTCCGCAGCAACCTTCAGAGGCGATGACTTCCCTGTCCGCTGGTGAGATCTCCTCCATTCTCCTCTCTTTGCCCACGCAACAGGACATGGCCGCCCTGGTCACCAAAATGGAGACCGCGCTGAGGAAAGACATTGCTAGCATAAACAAAACAGTCTCCCAACTGGAGACGGAGGTTTCTACCTTGTCTACAGGCCATACCCACCTGTCCCACAGACTTGACCGCCTGGAATCGGAGACAGCGGCATACGACCGCCATCTATCCATCTTGTTCCTCGCGCACGATGACCTGGAGAATAGGTCCCGGCGGAACAATGTAAAACTCCGGGGGCTCCCGGAGGCTACAGATGCGGTGGGCCTTCGCCCTACGGTGACTGCCATTCTCAATTCCATCTTGGATAAGGCCCCGGACTCCCCTCTAGAGATACACCGAGTCCATCGCGTGGCAGAAAGGCCCCATCCCCTTTGACTGAGTGGACATCTCTAGCCTTCCGGACCTCTCACGCCGCACACTTCAGATGCGACGGACCCTACAACCTCTCCTCGCTGAGATCCGCCGGGCCGGGGGCCTCTACACTTGGGGGTATCCCTTCAGCCTGAATGTGCGCCGAAACGGCCGGACCTTTCTTCTGCGCCACCTGACCCAACTGGAAGACCTTCTTGGAGATGCCCCCGGTGGAGGTACCAAACTGGCTTGGCCCTGACCTAGACGTTGTGTGCGGCACCTTGTCAATGCGAGCCTGCATCCCGACTCTTTGGAAGAGACCTGAACTCCCCACCATTCACCAATGGCTGGATAGGGTACACGACATCTACCTCATGGAAGACCTCACAAGCTCACTCAACAACACCTCAGCCAAATTCCGAAACACTTGGTTCTACTGGATTGAGTTTCTCAACTCTCCGGCGTATACGGCCCTGCGCCAAGGACACAGTGGGTAGATCTCCTGGACAGAATACACCTTACATCTCTTCTCCGCTCTCCCCTTCCTTACTGAGCAGATCTGCCTTCTCTCCTTTACTCTCCTCTATTAGCTAATCTCCATGATGCTATATCCAGGGTCCCCACCTATGTTTCCCAAAGCCACCGTAAAGGTCTAGATTGGATATTTGTGCCTTCATTTAATCTGCAATGTGTCCTTCACCCCACTCTTGGTGCCCCTGACAGGCCCTTGTTGTACCCTGAGTTTTTTCGTATTTTTTACGTTCCATTTTCCCCCTTCTGTGATACCCTTGGGAAAATTTGAAAACGACATTAAATAAAGAATTTGTAAAAAAAAAAAAAACTGAAGAAGCTGCTGGGATACGCACAACAAGTTGAATGGGACATAATACTACTAGCTATACCGTGAAAAGGCTAAATGAGAACCTCACAGTCCGAAATGAGCACAGATGGCAGGATCAAGTCAGTTCAATGAGGTACCATTTAAAAGAACCAAATAAAATTGGAAACTAATAGTAGTTAGTCACATTTAACTCTGTAATGATGCAGAGGTTTTGCCACTCATCCAAGTGGCTTTCTCAGCTTTTAGGAGTGCCAGGGATATAGCCCAGCATTTAAAGCCCCACAGGAAACTCCCATCACCTTAGAAAAGAGAAACTTTGTAACTGAAAGCGATAAATAATGATCAAAAAAAGTTTAGATGTAATCTTTAAAGCGTATCAACTGCCTGGATGCATTATGCATTTATAACAATAGTTTACAGAACAGTTTGTAATGTTTGAGGAATAAAAGAGATAGTTCTCTCATGTAGGAAAGCAAATCATACAGAACTTGTTTAATGTGCACTATTATTCATTTTACACACTATCAGTTCCTGTGCAGACACTACGCTCTTCTGAAATGCAATCATAGAATACTTACAACTGCTCCATGTTATCTAGTCCAAAAAACGCCCCATCCATTAGTTTGCTGATACCATTCCGTTGTAGTTTTAAAGATTTCAGCGAATCCAGCCCTTGAAAAGTCAAGCTCTCCACAATTTGAATTCGGTTTCGTCTCAATTCACTGCAAGAATTAAGTATGTTAATTTACATAACCTAATGAGTTGCAATCATCTGGCTTTCATTGCTATTGATCCACATTCTTTAGACAATCCAAACATAAGGTGGAGAGTAATATACTTACAGGAACTGCAAATGAGGGAGCTTCAGACTTTTTGGTTGAATCATGCTGATCTTGTTCCTGTTAAGTTTTAAAACTACTAAAGAGCCAGACAAGTTGTCAAAGCATCCAGCTTCCAAAGTAGTAATTCTATTGTTACTTAGATTCCTGTATGAAGATGAATTAAACATGTAAGTAGAGAAAAAAAAAAAAAGATGGCCAAATAAAGCTTGAATTAGACTCTTTTACAACAGACTGTAATGCAGATTTAGCATAGGTTAACTCTCAGAGCATCCTTCTGCTGCAGACATCAAATGTCATACCCATAAAAAGCAACTAGAGCATAAGAACATAAACGGCCCACATAAAAGGCCCACTATTCATAAGTATTGTATTCTGATAACTGGATGTAGTGTGTAATGGATGTTATGATAATGTTTAGTATTCCTTTTTTATTTGACATATTTTCTTAACATTTAGGTGTAGACCAAATTGTCCAGGAAAGGCGACAGTGAGAGAGCCGGTGGAATTGAGCAGTTTCAGATTAGGGGAAAAAAATCTTTATATTACATTGTTAAAATTCAGACTTAGACCATGGAACAGTTGTCCATGTTCTAGTCTGTTTCAATCTATGACTGTTGGTCTGCAGCTTGGCCTGCACGTAAATGTGGCGAAAAAATAATACGTGCATGTAAAAAATAATCTAAATACGGTCATTATACAGTATTACTTACACTTATAAAAATGCAAAACCTTTCCTTGCAGTGGTCTTTTAAGGCTCATTGTCTCAAATATTGCTCAAGCCTGCAAAAACCTTTTGTCGGTCTCCCTTTTAAAGTATGCAAATTCTCATGCCAAGTCAAACGTCATAAACACCCAAAAAAAAAGGGTTTCCCCCTTAGCATCAGTCACCTTTCCCATCAGTAACCCCCCCCGCTTCACATGAGAAGGCTACTTTCATATCAGACCCCCCCAGCCCCCTTTCACATAAGCATACCCCTCTTCGCATCACAGTCCTACTGCCACAAAATTTTGAGGCACCCCTGAGGCCAGGAATCACACCCTGATTGAGAAAGGCTGTTTTAGAGGAAGAGACTAAGCACAGAGCAGCAGATTACCAACTGTCTTCAAAGGGTGCTTTTTGAAAAATTGAATCAGTCCCATATTTTTAATAAAATTACCAAACTTTAATATGGATGGAAATTGGGAATGAAATGAAAATCAGACCAATACTTTTGTAGGGTGTTACTCCTTTCTAACTTCTGCAGTAAAACTAGTATCTTGTTGATCTTCGTTAGAGATGGAGTCTGGTGATATTGAAGATTAGGAACATGTGTTGTTTCTTCTCAACTACTAAGATTAATGAAAAGATTCATGAACTTTACAAGCATTTAGCTGTGGTTCAGCAACACAGTATGGCATCAACAAGTACCTATTTTGTCTGATTTGATCAAAATGAGTATAATACTATGTAGGGAAAGAGTATAATACTATGTAGGGAATGCACAGACCAGCTAGGCATAACACAAAAGAATGCAGCATAATTCACAGTGGTCATGTGAAGGAAAGAATTTAGATACACCGTTTAGTAATAATAAACCATTAAATCCCCAGTATTCACATAAAACAATTAAAAAGAGAGGTCCTGTTACCAATATGCCACAGCACATTAGACACTCCATGCAAGGTCTGCTTTGAAAAGTGGACCTTTCCTAAAAAGCAACAAAATATATATTTTTTTTTTAAATCTCCGTGCAAATTAAAAAAGTATTATACTCGCCTTTCCTCAGGCTTCTCTGATGCAGGAAATTATATCCTCTTGCCAATGAGATTCTGGGGAATGGAGAGTGCTGCAAAACTCACAAGAAGGCACCTGCAGCACAGTGCTGGGAATGTCTTTTCAGCAAGATATGGATTCCTCTACATCCCTCAGATCTCGTCGAAAGTAGGACGACACCACCCTTGCCAAGATGATGTAGGCGAAAGCCAGGGGAAAGGTAAGTACACTATCTAACTTCTCCCATATAGCTGTTTTTTTTTTCTTCTATTCAGGGTTTATGCTGCTTTTCATATAGGGCAGGGGTCAGCAACCTTAAACACTCAGAGCCATCCATTTGGACCCATTTCCCACAGAAAAGAAAACTCAGGGAGCCACAAAACCCTATTGACATCTAAAAGGAAGATAACACTGCATTTATCGTTTTTTACCTTTATGCTATGTATATAGGTATATGTGGGCTTAGTAACGCACTGGACTCTGGGCTTAGTAACGTACTCCCCCCCCCCGCTCCTCATTCGGACTCACCTGGCAAAAGCCACAGCCAGCATCCCAGCCAGCAGGTGTGCACTGCAGGGGGCGGGGCATGTGACACACACTTCTCCTCTCCCGCCGCCTGTTACTAGGGACGCGGCTGGGAGAGGAGGTGAGTCACAAGACCCGCCCCCTTACCGAGAAGTCCATCGGCAGTGCGGGGCCCCGGGACCCTGCACTGCCGCATATTCCACCGGAGGACTGGACCTCACTGGGCCCCCACAACCTCAGGCCCTGCAGCCCCAGGGCTAGTTCTGACCCTGGACAGGGAGCCGCAGCAGAGGGATGAAAGAGCCACATGCGGCTCCGGAGCCGCAGGTTGCTGACCCCTGATATAGGGGAACGGTAGGGCCACTGAAAAAGCAGACCATGCATATTTTAAATCTTTAAGCTACACATGAAAAGAATGTGCATACAGTCCTGTGAACATTTAGTTACACCCTATGGAAAGGACTTTAACATATTTGAACAGGATACATTAGAACTTTATTTAACCACTTGAAGACCAGGTGTTTACACACCCTTCTTGGCCAGGCCATTTTTCAGTATTCAACGCTGCGGTGAATACTGACATTTCTGTCATGCAATGCTGTACCATTTTTTGGGGACAGATAAAGCTTTCTTTTGGTGGTATTTAATCACTACTGGGGGGGTTTATTTTTTACTATATTAAGGAAAAATTACTGAAAGGTATTTTTAAAAAAGTGTTTAGTTTTTTTACATTATGTTATAATACAATTATTACTACCCAATTTTTTGGTAAAATATAAAATACGGGGTCACGTCAGGTAAATAGGCAATAAACATGTCAAGCTTTAAAATTCCGCGTACCCGCCAAATCAGAAAAAAAACTACCACCTTCTTCATGTGTGACTTTACTTTGTTTTTTTGCAACATTAATTTTTTTTTCCACTAAGAAACCTAAGAAACCCCGCTATGTGATAGCAAAGAGGACGTGACAAGTCCTCTTTATGGAGACATCAGGGTCCCCCAAAGAAGCTGAGGAAACAGAGATCTGCTTCATCAGCTTCTGAAGCTGGAGAGTGACACAAGAATGTGGAAGTGATGTAATATACATCACTTCCGCATTCTGACACCGGAGGGAGTTCGTGTACCGATCTCCCTCTGATCCCGTCACAGGCCACCATCCTGGTCCCGGGCTCGCACCGGGCACAGCAGAGCACGGGACCAGCGGGAGGCCTCGGAGGGGGGGGCCCCACATACCAGCACGTTATACAAGCGATCCGCCGGCCATCACTTGTATGCAAACAGGCATCGCTGCCTGTTTTTACATTTTGGCACTTTCCGGCGAGAGTGCGAGTGGGCGTGACTGACGGGACGTTTAAAAACGCCCGCTCAGATCCAGGGAGCTCCCGGCTGGCTGTTTTTTTTTTTTATATACAAAGGCCGGCTGGGAGGCGGTTAAACAATGCCTACAGATAAAGGTCATCTACTTGAATAAAAACACAAGAAACATTTGCCTTTATAATAATTGATTGAACAAAAATATTAATAGATGTAATGGTGTACTGCGGAAAAAGCAAATCCTGTGGTAAAAGATTCTCAGAGTTTTCAAATCCAAGAGACCCGGCCTTTTTTTTACTCCAACACAATTGTATTTCAATTAAAGTTTATAAACGCTCAGTTGTAAGCACTTTGTTAATGCTGCTCGCGCCTGTATCCCAGCCTTGTGGAAGAGACCTGAACCACCTAATATATATCAGTGGTTAGATCGCATTCATTAAATTTACCTTACGGAAGACCTTACAAGCTCTATTAAAAACACCTCCGATATTACCAGAAAACTTGGCTGTATTGGAGGTAGTGTATAAATTCAGCAGAATATCTTGCAATAAAAACGAGACTCGGGATAGTGACTAATGGAGGAAAGAGATACTTATAAATGTATTTATTTTTTATAGAGGTGCACCGAAATAAAAAAAATTGTCAGGCCGAAACCGAAAATGTTAATTTTTCTAATATTTTATTTGTATTTATTTTTTATAAACTTTTACATTTTTTTATATTTATTTCTATTTATGAATTCATTTTTTTATTAAATATTTCTATTTTTTACTTTACTTTTAGGGGCTTCGGGGAAATATTAGGGGTCTAAAACAGACCCCTGATATTTCCCTTTTAAAATAGAAAAAGAGATTGGGGACACAAAGTCCTCAATCTTTTTCTGTATCCCCTGTTATCAATGAACAGGAATCCTCTATGAGTGTTCCTGTTCATTGATAACTTGAGAATATAGTATGTTTACTATAAACTACAACTATGATTGAACAGGAGGTGATATAGATCACTCCCCTTCATTCATAATTGATGATATAGTCCACATACCATATCCTCAATTATCTACACTCAGTGATCACTGATCGCTGAGCGTTTGCTCTCCTCTCTGACACACTGTCAAAGGAGGCTGAGCGAGTGGTGCAGTGAGGAGAGCTCAGCCTCCTGTGACAGCTCTGTCTCCGCCCCCACACCGCTCTGCTGGACTGTGGTAGACGGCCTAGCGGTGCGGGAGGAGAGACACTGGCCGCTCACAGCGCTCTGCCGGCTGTCACTTTCTCTCCTCCCCGCTGGGACACAGAGCAGCGCCCAGCGGGGAGGAAAGAAACCATGAATGCGCCGACGTATCGGCAGGAAAATGGCACTTTTCGCCATTTAGCCAAAAGTGACATTTTCAGACGATATGTTACGGCTGCCGATATAACGGTGCATCCCTAATTTATTTTTATTATTCATTTTTCTTTGTGCCTTTGTCCTGTTTTATGTAGCTTTATCGTCTATATTTTTAGCGGGATGGACATGAGGCCGATTTATGTCTTAATTTATTTGTGTAAAGATGTTTCTGTAAATGTTTCTTATGTTTTATATTCTAGGTTTCAAAATATAAAATAAAGAATTTAGAAGAAAAAGTAAATCCACATGGCATGGTATTTCCCCCGTAGCAGAAACTACTTTTTGTAGGCATCTTGTATAACTGTCCACCAGTCTTTGAAATCAACTTAGTAAAAGTAAAATGTTTGACTACTTCTCCATGCAAACTTCTTTTGGCTGCAAGATGTTTGTAGGTTCCCTTTTATGAACCATTCGTTTTAAAATCCCTCTACTAAAAATTCTCAATGGGAATCAAATTAGGGCCTTGACTAAAGGAAGTCCATAACACTCCTTTTTTTAAGTAATTCCTTGGTGAATTTGCTAGAGTGCTTCAAATTATCATTCGTGTTGAAAGACTCATTTGCAGTTAAACAAAATTTTTTGACAGATGGCCTCACATTTCCATCAAGTATACTGATTATGTATTCTATGATAGAGAATGTATAGGTGTCTCAGTGAACAGCCCAGGCCCTGAAGTAAAGCAGCCATACACCATATAATTTCCACCATCAGGCAAAAACATCAGGTTATTTTCCTAAAATGCTGAGACAAACATATCTACTGTTACCAAACAACTCTATCTTTAATTGATCAGTCTTCAGGACATTGATCCAGAAGTCCTGATCTTTGACTATACTGTATATTCAATGCAATCTTACTCTACTGTGCTTTTTCTCACTGAATTGGTGCAATCTCTTTCCGATTATAGATGCATGCACTTTGACACCAACTGTTACAAGAATCACCCGAACACCCCAAGATGACTTATCAAATTTCAGCTCTTGAGTTGAAGTTGCTGGGCAAAGCAGTCCTGCGCAAATTAGCAGTTGTTTGAAATCTACAAGATTTGTAAACTATTCATTTCCCTACAGAGGAATGACTAATTTAAAATAATTTGGCGATCCTTTTAAATGCCTTGCTAGACTCAGGCATCCACAGCTTTTTTTTTTACCTGAGGGCCTTAGAGAGCTCTATTTATCTTGGCATGATGACACCACGCATGTCAATAGAAACAAGAACACCAGACCCTAGATGTTTAGGGATACTATAAAGCTGGCCATACACCTATAGATTTGATATGGTCAGATGGAAAAAGTACAACAGATTCCTCCATCTACACTAAACTGTGTGGATGGAGGAATCTCCCACTAGCACAAGCTTCAGTATCTTGCTACCCTGTTTCCCTGAAAATAAGACCTACCCCGAAAATAAGACCTAGTACTATTTTTAGGAATTGCTGAAATATAAGACCTACCCTGAAAATAAGACCTAGTTATGACCATTCCCAGGGCCGGTGGTGGCATAAGAGGGAACTTGAAGAGCCGCGGGAGAGAATCAGTGGTGCCAACGAAGCCAGCGCTAGAGGAAGCAAGGCGGCACCGGAGGGAGCAGAGCTGCATAAGCCGATGCTTCCTCTATAGTGATACCAAATGCACTTCGCCTGTGAGGAATCAATAGTGAAAGCGCGCTTCGCTCATTCTGGCCAGCGATTGGTTAGCAAATTGCTCTTGGAAAGGTACGGCACCCCTGATTGCCCTGATCACCATATTTTTGTACATGAATACATGTAGACTTTTCTACATGAATAAGTGTGGATTGTTGTACATTGAAAAAAGAAAAATAAGACCTACCCCGAAAATAAGACCTAGTGTGTTTTTTTTGAGCCAAAAAAATATAAGACAGTGTCTTATTTTCGGGGAAACACGGTAGTCGGCCCCGCTGGCTCTCAAAACACCTGAACAATGCCTGCATCCAATCAGATTGTTCAGGTATTTTGACAGCCAACGGGGCTGACTAGCAATATACTGAAGCTTGGCCCAGCGGGAGATTACTCCATCCACAGTTTAGCGAAGATGGAGGAATCTGTTGCACTTTTTCCATTTGACCATAGAAAATCTGAAGAAAATCTATAGGTGTATGGCCAGCTAAAGACATGTTCCTCGTTTCATTTTCCTTGCATACTCCATAAGGAGGTTCTAATCGTTGGCACCTAATCTGGAACACCCGATTCTAACTGTATGGATTTGAAGTTGTGGTAAATGTAGGTGTGTACTTACTTTTTGCATATGAAAAATCCACTTTTTGTTCCGTTAGATCATGGAAATAAATACTCTAATTCAATTTTATATGTTATTATAAAGAGCATACCACCTTATTTCATGTAGACATTATTTGAATCAAGTTATGTTTACCTTCATATGTTGAAAAAGTCAATAGTTTCCAAGGGAAGCATTTCTTTTTGTCACATGACTGTATAATTAACTTAAGTTTTGCTGTGTGTTCTAGATACACAGATCCTTTTATATGCCCATATTTATTGCCTGTTCTAACTTTTCCTCATAAGCAGGTGTAAAAAACCATGAGTAATTTTAGGAATTTTACACCTAAAGAGCAATACAACCGGTTTTTTTTTATCCTAGTGCATGTCATGAAAAGAATAATTTCATTTCAAATGAATGTTTATGTATGCTGCAACAAAGGTTTCTGGGTCAAACATATGCACATTGTTATAAAACGGGTCACTTACAAATACTTCATAGGGATACGTGGAAAATAGGAGCTTTTTATTTCTGTGAGAAGATTTGAGCTGAGGTCTAAGGTTTCCAAAGAAAGGTACAGCTGAAGCAAATCTCCATCTAGCTCTGAAATTTTATTATGTATTCTGCAGATTAAAAGAAAAAAACAAAAAATGATATCAAACTTTAACTTCACAAAACTAAATATACAATAAACCTTAATGACATCACAATTTATGGCTAACAATTATCGTAGCTGACATTTAACAGTGCAAAAGGAATTTTATTTCTTTGCAAGGATTTAAACTGTATGTCTAGGCCAAATGTACCCGGAAACCTTCCTGTCCTCCTTCCAGATCACGTCTCACGTTATTTTTGTTTTCCTTTTAACTTCCTGTATCAAGAAATGCTTTTTTTTTTTTTTACTTCTTGTGACCTCACCAAACTTGTACAATCTTTTCAGGATTAGCTGTTAGAAGGCCATTTCCTAGTGAAATAAGTACACTCCTTAGTCTCCATTCACACCTAGGCGTCAGCGTTTGCGCATGTAAAACGCATGTTTTTCTGCACAATTTTCCCTCATGGTTTGCACGGCTGTGCGCGTTAAACGCGCATTAGGCAAAGACGTGCATTTTGTAGAGCAGATCAAAGTGCATTGCTGTGAATGAGGAAATGTGTGCGCAAATGCACACGAAACATGCGCACAAATGTGCAAACCGCTTGTGTAGCGTGTTTTAATGCGCTTCCACTGAAGTCAATGCAGCCAAATGTGCTGCAATCTGCCCTAAAGCTCATGTAATTTTTCCAGCGTTCTGCGTTTTACAGCTTGCAACTAAACTCTAAAGGTGTGAACAGGGGCCATAGAAATGAATGGTATTTCTTGTGTTGAGAGTTTTGTCGCACTTAGCTTGGAGCGTCAAAACGCCCAGGTGTGAACAGGGACTACATCTCCCAAGATCTCTTTTCCTATACACCGTATGTGTGCTTAAGTTGTTTGGAAGGAAGGTAGTGGCATTGTTCGCTGGTATTTATACAAGTGGAATAGGACAGTGAGGTCTGGAAATAGGTGTTCTGCAGTCCAGCAGGAAGGGATGAAAACACATGGGAATTTTAGAGCAGCAAAGACACTGCATTTTCAGCCCCAACAAGTTAGGATTTTTAGCAGATCAACAAGTATTTTTCAGTACTTAGTGTTGTGAAAGATAAAAAAGGGGGAAATGGGTATGTATTGTAAAGATGTTCTGCCTATTTTTTTTGGAATCAAAGTTTTTTATTCAGTTTTAACAACGACAATACAGCAGATAGTATATCTGATATACAGCACAAAGATCTTGTGGTCGACATTTTCAATTACAACAGTGCAAATGACAAACGATTGGAATGTCAGGTCAAAAGGCACTTGTGCATTAAAGCGCACATCAGAGAGGCAAGGGAGACAGAGAAAAGGTTTAGAGAAAGGGGTACAGAGGAATAAGGTAAAGAGAAGGAGCAAAAGTCTGGTGGCAGAGTGACCGCCCCAGATGAAGCAATGTAATCATAGGGCCGTTATGCTGGTAGAATGAATGTCAGGATGAGCATATGCTATCCAGGGGTTTCAGACCTTCAGACATTTATTTTGGGTGTCCAAGAGGACACTGGCTAGTTTTTCATTAATAAAGTACGAGTCAAGTCTACGTCTGACCCCCGCAAAAGGGATCAGCTGCTTCTTCCATGCTTGTGCTATGGTTTGTTTGGCGGCCAGGAGTCTTTGTAATGTTTGGGGGTTTAAGATATAGAACTGCAAACCAAGGGTTCCTGGCAACATTCGTTTGGAAAAGTGATCGCAACAAGCGGAAATACTCTGCAGGGGGAGCATGTAAGTTTTTCGTAATAGATTCCCAGCTGCGAGTCCGGCCCCTCTTAACAGGTTGTGGAGGTAGACAATATTGTTCAACGTCCACCTAGTGAACGCCCCAAGAGACTCCATCCCCGGAGGAAAGAGCGGGTTACCCAGAATGGGCAACAAAGAAAGATGAGGAGAGACGAGTTGGCTGTAATACTACGTGTTATCCCACACTCTAGTGTGTGGCTCATCACTGGGCTGTGGGCCCTGGGGAGCTAGGTCAGTGGAAGTCACGGGAGTGCCTTGATTGAGATTGGCTTAGAATGTAGATGTCACCTACACGATCAATGTTGATATTCTGAGTGACACCTATCAATAAATGGATTTGCACTAACTTATGAGTTTCTGTCGTGCTGGTGACATCTACATTCTAAGCTGTTCTGTGTGCGGCGCCATCCACTGTCATTTCAAGCACCCATTTACTTTTTTTGGGATTTCCGGTAAGGAGTGCTACAGGATTTATGACTTTTGATTGAGATCGGGGCACAGTACACACTCTCCAGCTCCACCCACAGTAGTGTTTGTGCAGACATGTATAGGTTTGTTATGGGGGCTGAGCAGCTTGAAAATATTTGTGAAAATTTGGAAGACCGAGACCGCCCTGTTTCCTATGGCGATGGATGGCGATGTAGCAACCTCTCCAACCCCTCAATGATGGAGAGGTTGGAGACTTGTGCAAAAGAATCCAAAATGGATAGTAAGTTTGGAAGGGTGATATGAGGCTGGGTAACCGTGAGGAGGAAGTCATCCGCAAATATGTTCAGTTTATAGTCAATTTTGCCAACCCACACACCATGGATGTTTGGGTTTTGCCGTATAAGGTGTGCCAAGGTGGAGAGGGAGGAAAGTGGGAGAGGACGGGAGGGCTGGAGGTGAAAGGGGAGGGGAGGAAATACAACCATGATAAAAATGATTTATAAGTTTTCCAATAGGGTTTCTACAAGCTATGCGAGAAAAAAAACCTCTACTGTACAGGGCAATCTTTGTGGGGAAGGATGGATCAACAAGGGGAAAAGGCAGGCTCGTGCCGTGTCTCCAATGATAGTCATGTCCAGTCCCCACAGAGATGGCGGGGAGCTACAATGTTAATCTATAGTGGTGCAGAATTGCCAGGGTCACCAGGATCCCCTCCAGAGGACAGTCGGGTAGGCGATCCCATACTAATTAAGTGGCCCAGATCTCGAGGGGAGGGGGTGGGGCCACAGACTAGTTTCACTCCATCCAACGGAGCTCAAAGTAGGGGAAGAGGGGGATCCAGGGTGTAACTGGGTCAGATATAGTGCAACCTCCATGGGGAGGGGGGTAGGATCATACAAGCGTGCCCTCAGCACAGTCTCGATGACAAAGGGCAGGATCCACTCCTCACAAAGGGGGCACACAATGAGAAAGCGCAATAAGAAAAATTTTTTAACATACATGCAAAGGCACAAAGAAAAACATTAAACTGTTATACAAGAGAAACAGTGCATAACAGGGGGGAAAAAAAACATCTAGGGAGGAGAGGCACTTTAGATATGCAGTAACCAAGTATGCTCAATACATCCAGCATGGTGGAACTTCAATATTATATTCCAGGGTAACAAAAACCACAGGAATTTCATTAGGCTACAATACCCGTTGGCCCGTGCTCCTAGGTCAATGTCAATTCCATGGAAACGATAGGGTGGATGGGGTGAGGTTAAGTCATGCACAATGTTCGGACAAAGACGTATTTGGAAAATCGGTACGCTGTGAGAGCAGCGGGAACTGCCACAAGGGCTTGGAGGAAAGCAGGATGGTGATGTAGCAACTTCAACTGATGGAGTCCTCTTGTGATTGCCGAGATCCCCGAATCCCGCAGGTGCGATCACGGTGGGTCCGGGGACCGTGTTCCTAGAGTGTCGTCAGGCTACGGTGACGACACTCTAGGCCTTCATGATCGCTTCATTGGATTTATAGAAGGTGGGCTTAAGGATCACATCGCGTGTGGGGCCATACAGCCTCTTGGTGCCCAGGACCCGAAGCACACGATTCATCCCGAGCCGTTCCACTGGATAATGCGGGAGGGGCTTCTGGAACATGGCTGTGACCATGGTGTTGAGATCCTCCACGTGCTCAAGTATTCACCGCAGACTAATATTGCCACGTCTGTTGCAGTTCTCTAGGTCCTTTTATTTCAGGAGAATGTTGGACAGGTCAGATTTTACAGAATCTAGGTCCTGTTCGTGGGAATCCACAATGGAGATCACATCGTCCATTTTGTATTTAATATTGTGGCGTCTCGATCCCAGGTCCCTGATGACATGAGACAGTTGGGCCGCCAGCTTATCTGTGGCTGCTCCTTCTGCAACAGGAGCTTAAAGCGATCCAGGAGTTCAGTCTTTGCACGTCACCTCAGGCGGAGCGAAGCAGCAATGGAGTAGTGCTCTGATTTGAAGAGTGGTCCGCGTCCGTCACCGGTTCTTCTGAAGGGGGCTGTGTGTCCAGTCCAGGAAAAGATGGCGACATCTTGGCCGGAGTGCAGGCCGGAGCCGGCGTGGTTGAACAACGGGAATGGTTGCTTTTTGCGTTGCCATTCTTTCCCATTTTGCTCCTCCACCAGTCCAGGAGGTCTTGCAGCAAAACAGGTGGGCACAGGCGTCAGATCCGAGCACCGATATTGCTAAGTTTGCATCCGGGTGTAGCGGAGCCAAATCAGGGTGTGGCCATCCTGGTTGGCTGCTAGCTAGCCCCCCTGACCGCCTATTTTGTTGACCATAGCAAGTAATCTTATAAAAATCAGCATTGCAGATTACAGTTTTAACAAGTTAGAGAAACCTCCCCATGTGATAAAGTGAGCCTCTGACTACTTAAGGTGCTTGTTATTGCGGTCTCACAGCTCAGAAATGGCATATAACCACAAGGATGTCTGGAAATCTTGAGTTCCAATAGCTTTTTTGAGCCTTTTATGCCTAAAGGGTTCCACAGTAACATATGGTAAAAGCTGTATGAGCCAAACATTTATCAATCGTCAGATAATAGGGGACAGCAAAAGTAGCAGCAAAAGAAACCCATCCACTATCAAGGGGTTTTCACATTATTGCTTTGTCCAACTTATGCAGTTGATGTACAATGTTAACAGGTTAAGGATTCTAGTGCATACAAAAGATGATCGTTTTTTTTCTTCTTTATTATTACAGTCTGCATCTGGTTCGTAATTTACACGAATATGTAATAGTAGTAATTAATACCTAGATCAGTTCTGCGTGAACTTGGCTACATTAAAATACCAGGCTCTGGTTCTAA